ATGGCTATTTCTGAGTAGGGGATTATGGGAGATTTGCATTTTGTTCATATTCCAAATATTGAACACAATCATGTATTATTTTTGTCATCAAGAAAAAAAATTGAAAAATAAGAAAACTTTTAAGCTCTGAGTTTCTAAGAAACATTTCCCCATTTTCAAATGGTGTAAAAAAAAAGGTCTTGCATGACACAGGCATCCTGATTCCTTTTTCCCATAGCAAGAACATTCCAGATTTCAGAGTTGGAAGACCTGGACTTTTTCAGTCAGGATTCTTCTACTTTCTAGATAAACAGCTTTGAATAAGTCAATGAAACCTGAAGAACCTCTGTAAAATAAATTTCAAAGAATTCAAATCAAATCAAGACATAAATGAGAATCTAGAAAAGTTTCATCAATTTGATAAAATAATATGCCAGAAGGATAAGAACTTGTAGTTAAAAAAACTGAGAATTTAAGTAAATTGCTTGACTTTTCTGAGATGTCAATTGTCTTCATCTGTACAATGGGTATAATTCATGAGGACTTATAAGAACTTTAATACCACAACTTATAGCCCAACATTGGATTTTTGCAGCTTGAACTCTGAAGCTGCTTATGAGGTACAATTTTACCCTTTTGGGCTCTGAAACTGCCTGCAGAGCAAGCAGCCCTCCTGTGCTGATTGCACTATTTGATAATTGTACCTTCTATGTGGTTGATAAGCAACACCCCCTGGAACTGCTTAACCAAAAGCCTTTGTTCTATGAGTCTGAACTGAAACTAGGACATTAATAAATGCTTAATTATATGATACCCGTTGGTTTTTTAAAATATATTTTATTAATTTTAGAGAGGAAGGGAGAGGGAAAGCGAATCATTGATTGGCCGCCTCCTGCACGCCCCCTACTGGGGATTGAGCCTGCAACCCAGGCATGTGCCCTTGGCTGGAATCGAACCTGGGACCCTTCAGTCCGCAGGCCGGCGTGCTATCCATTGAGCCAAACCAGCTAGGGCTGATACCCATTGTTTTTATCATTAAAAGTTCAGTTACCCCCACCAATCAGAAAATGAATGATATAAGTTTATAGCCTTGTTTTCCTAGCAACTCTCTCCTTTTAAAAACCCTGTTCTCTCCCAGCCCCCCAAACTCTGAAGGAATCTTTGGTTCATACCAAGGACTAAGTTCTCTAATATAGAAATCATCCTATATAATAAAAGGCTAATATGCAAATTTCCCCCTCTCCTGGGAGTTCAACTGGGAGTTCAACCAGGGGGCGAAGTTGGCTGGCCAACCTCCTGCAGCCCCTCCCCCTGGTTGGCCCAGCCTGATGGCCCCAGTCGGGGCAGGTTGGCTGGATCCCACCCATGCACAAATTCATGCACTGGGCCTCTAGTATATGAATAAACTCTTAATTTCTTTTGGAATTTTGTTAACAATAATCTGTGATGCTGCCAAGGCTGTTGTGAAGAATAAGTGAGTTGATGTATGTGATGTATCTGCAAGTTTCTTTCAGCTGGTTTAATAATCAAGTAGACATCAGACAGATTAGCAAGAGAAAAATAACCAAATTTAATATGTACTGGAACTCCACATTCATGACAGAGTCACAGACCTCAAATTCACGAGAGGTACAGAGATAGGAGGGGATCTAGGTATATAAGACAGTCTGAGCTACGGATGAGGTAATTGGGGGCTTCAAGGTGTCATTGCAAGATGATAAGAAGAACAGATGGTTAGTAAATAAAAGTTTGGTGGGTCAAACTTTTAGGCTTTCACTAATAATCTTTTATTATGGGCGGGAGGACCTAAAGAGAAATGTTACCTAGAGAGGAGGGGCAAGGACAAGCCACGTCAGTAGTCATCCCACCAGCATCAGAAGCTGAGGACCACCCTCCTTGCCTATCCTATATAATAATAATAAAAGGCTAATATGCAAATAGACTGAATGGCAGAACAACTGGAACAACCGACCAACCGGTCACTATGACATGCACTGACCACTAGGGGGCGTGCGCAGAGCATGGCGGGTGTCAGCTGCGGCGGGATGGTGGAGCAGGTGAGCGGGGGCGCCAGAGCAAGGCAGGGTGCCAGTCGCTGTCATCGGGTGAGCCTCTGGTGGTTACTGAAAATTCTTTGCTCCCGCGTGCTGTGGTCCCGCCCGGCGCTCACACCTGCTGCCAGTGCCAGCCCTGCTCGCACTTGCTGCCGGCACCTGCACCCACTGCCAGCACCGGCCCCACTCGCACTCGCAGCTGGCACCAGAGCCACCGCTCGTACCTGCTGCCGGTGCCTGGCACCAGTCCTGATTGCTCAGTGCCATCAGTGGGTGCGAGAAGCAGCTGCCGGCCCGATCGCCCCTGAGGGCTTCTCCACATTCCCCTGCTCCTGAGGGGCGATGGGGGCAGCAGCCACAGTGCCGGCCCAGCTCGCACCCACTGCTGCTGCCGGCCCCAATCGCACTGTGCCGTCAGTGTGAGTGTGAGCAGGGCTGGCGCCATCAGTGTGTGGGATGGCGGTGGCAGGAGTGGGGCTGCCAGCAGACAAGGGACCAGGGGCTGCAGCAGGAGGGGCCAGGCAGGGGTGTGGAGGATGGGCTGAGACCCGCCCCTGTGCCTACCACAGCCTCGTGGCCCACAGTTCCTTTCAAGGTGCATGAATTCGTGCACTGGGCCCCTAGTCCTATATAATAAAAGCCTAATATGCAAATTGACCAAACAGCTGAACGACCGGTCACTATGATGCACACTGACCACCAGGGGGCAGACGCTCATCACAGCAGCTACCCCCAGCTCGCAGGCCCCAGGCTGCCACTAGCCCCGCAGAGAGAGGCGACTGGCAGCAGTGGTGGTGTCCGTGGTGGTGGTGGGGGGAGCAGTGAGCGGGCAGCGCCAGGCTGGCCAAGGCGGGTGCCCCCCCCATCGCCCTGCCAGTTGCCCCACAGATCAGCTCAGACCTAGGGACCCTACCCATACATGAATTTCGTGCACTGGGCCTCTAGTGTTTAATAAAAAACTTCCACCTAGAAAAAAAAATCAAAATAATCCTTACGCCAAAGAGGCATATTTTGAGGTGCATACTCTGCTACCCCTCAAAAAGAAAGTTTTCTATCTTTGACAATAAAACGTGCCCAACCTGATTAACCCTCTTCACCCCACCTCCTCCTCTCCACCCTCCCAACCCCTCTCCCTCTTGTCTTGAATGCTTGCTCCTCTTTTCAGTCTTCAGAACCCAGTCCTCTTCTTCTCCATCCCATTCTTTCCACAATAAACCATGAAGGGTGTCCTTCGAGGTTAAGCCTTTCTTACTTGGATGCACTCACCCAAATTCAATGTAATTATCTTAGTTTTATTTTTTGACAGGTTTTAATTCATTTTTTAAAAGTGTCCGGCACCTAAGCACATTCTCTGAAAATAAACTGTTATAAAAATCCTTTATCACTGGAATTCCCTACTTAACTGCTTTCACCGCAAACAGCGACTGGACCTAAAAACCAAGCACTTTGTGGACACCGCGGGGCAGCGCGGGTGGCCGGCTGCGGGG